AGATGCAATGAATCTGAAGTCTTGTCCTCTAGAATAGTTGGACAGTTGTCACAGCTTTACTAGCTAGTAGGCTTGGGACTCTTTTTTTTTTCCTTCTCATGACTACAGAATTGTCCCAAGTGCAAACTGAAAGGTAGTGGTGGGGTGAATCTCTGAAGACCTGGAATCTGGAGTGTTCTTCTAACAGAAGGCAAAATTAATTTACTTTGTGGTCTCCTTTCAGTGGAGATGTTTCGGAGTGGCTGATTTTGATGACAGCAGAGGCTGGCTTCATGATGACAAATCCTGATATTCCATATTTGGAACTGCATTGTGTCCTTGGACACAAGTGTTCTGTGCACTGTTAGGATGGTTTGGCACTTGCTGTGGAATGCTTAATTGAATATGCATCTCTTACATCTTCATATTGGCCACCTAACAATGGTTTCTCTGTGCTGACAACTGTCTACTAGTGGCTAAAACTTGTGGTTACCATGTCTGCTCCTCATGCAGGCTGCACAAACTAGTATCTGTCACTGCTCTCTGAAGCCTGATTTCAACTTAAGTAATTGATGTGACTTAAAGCTGGTAATGCAGAATTCAGCCTTGCCATGGATATTCAAAAACTTCAGGGTTTTTGATCTGACAAGTGCATTGTGGTAGTACTAGAAAGTCTCTGCAAAACTGTCATGTGAAATGAATTTGGAGGGTGTTAGGGTTCTGCTAATCTAATAGTACCAGGTCAGGCATACAAATAACAGCCTTTCAGAGGTATTGCTGTTTAACTACGGTGTAGTTCTTGAAGACACTGTGTTAAACAGAAGTGTCATAATGAGCTAGTTTGTTTTTACCATAACTGCCAAATTTGAAGTGTAAGAACATTCTTCTGTAGCTTTTAGACTTCAGAAGCTTGCTTGAACTCATAGGAGACTAATTATGGTTTTGTGGAAAGTCCTTAGTTGATTTACTTGTTGCCATGGTGTTGTCTTATGAGTAAGCACAAGGCAAATCTAGTTCAACTCGAGACTTTTTTTACTGGAAGTGGCCTACGTATCTTAAGGGTTTTGTGATCAGTTTATTTGGAGCAGGCTTTATCAATTGTCACTGCTTTCTTTTCAATAATGGTTCATTGTTCCAGTTCTTAACTGTAGAAGCTCTGTTAGTTCATGCAGCTGATTATGGAATATAAACAGGAAGCTTATTAACACTACCTCAAGATCAGAGCAAATGTTAGCTGTTCAGTAATGATAGTATAGTTCTGAGAGTCAAAAGGGAGTATTAATAAGTTTGTCATACTGGAATAGAGGGGTTTTGGCTGTGTGGAAACAATAAAAGTGTAACTTGGTGTTAGTATCCAGTGTAAAATGGTCTGCCACGTTCACTGCAGCTGTGGTATCTTGTGAAGCAAATGTATTTGCAAGTAAACTGTAAACCTCAGGTGTGAAGATGTAAGCCCACTGCTGGTCTGTTAGGGAACCATCTGTAGTACTGCTTAGCAGGGGTTGCAGCTGACTAAGCACTCTGCTTAGTTTTGCTGTTGAAGGTCAGTGTCTTGAATGGGAAAACTGTTAAAGGGTACAGTTCATGTGCATTACAGACACTGGTTTCAAAGGCTTGAACCCCCTACCATTCTGTTTCAGCTTTTCTGAAGATACCTAGTGCTTGATTTGAAGGCAAGCTTAAGAAATGGTACTACAATGTAGAGACAACATTCCCTTTCTTAAATAGAAAGCCAGAGTCTAAAGCAGCCACTTCTCTGGGGCTTAAAATGTTCTTTCATCTCTGCTATGAAGCACCAGAATACAGTTACAAGATTCCAGATGTTCTTACTTCCTGTGAAAGTCATTGGTCATAAAGGACTGAAACTTTTTGTCATTATAGGTAGAGGTGAAAGACTTTCCAGGTTTTGTTCATATGAAAGGCTGATTTTTGAAAGCTGAGTGGGTACAAAGTGTAGATGCTAGTTGCAGCTTTATTTAGTAAGCATGGAAGTTGCTGAGTCAAATGGGTGTCCCTTTGGTTAAGTGTTGTATTAAAAAAGTATATAGGTCAGGACCATTTGACATGCATGGTCTAGGAAAAAAAAATCTGAAGATGCTTTTGTCCCAAAGCAACTGGTCTAGTGAGCTATGCTTCCTTCCTCTAGACCTCGGAGAAGTCTAAATGGGCTCTCTGAACAAGTAGGCCTATGTATGGTGCTTGTTATGCCTCGATCCTTTAGTGTGCTATGGTGCTCCGTTGGGGATCTGACCACAAGAGTTATTTAGAATTTATTTCATAGTAGAAATAGTCATGTTGAAGTGTTGAGTCCTAGTAGCTGTGAAGAAAACAATTGACATTCTCCTATAAAAGTTCCAGACATAGCTGGCTAAACTGTGGAGACTGGGAATGGTAGTTGTGGTTCACTGAACGTATTAGGTCACTGAAGACTGCTACTTCCTCTGGAAAGGTGATGTGGTGCAGAGATGCCTCAGGAGCTGTTGTTAAATAGAACATTTTTGAACTAGGGTGTTGTTGTTCACGTTCTCTTGGACCAGCCTTTCTTTTGTGGGGCCTGGAAGTAGTCTTTTTCTCTTGAGGTAGTGTACTTTTCAGAAGGAAAGAAAGGCTGAAGTCTTGCGGGCTGGCCTGAAGATGAGTGGTTCTGCCAGCACTGTCCTCAGGTTTCTGACAGATTAGCCTTATCTAGGATACAAGGGAATTTTCATTTGCAGTTTGTGGATGATTGCTGAATAGACAGAGGATTTGTTTCACATGCTACATGGAACCGTAAGGTGTTGAAGTTTGGGAGGTGTGTTTTATAATCCTATGTTGCAGGAAGCCAAAGCTAGAACTGAGTTGCTCACTAAACTTCAGTGTTTTATAGCTGCCTTCACTGGTCATTGCTGCAAATCCTACAAAGCCTATGCTAGGTTGTTCTTGTTCTAGTCTAAACTTGTGTCTGCATGGGTTGTTATTCCTTTGCTCTAATTACTACAGGTAGTTCCTAAATGTGGTTAAAGAGGTATTGTAATTATATTCCTAACTTGATTCAACATTTCAAACAGGAATATGCAGCTGATCTTCGACATATTTTGCTTTTGTTATGGTTATGATTTATAGCTGGTTGTTTTAGCCTACAGCATCTTTGAGTAAAAGGAAGGTAGAGAGTTGTCCTTTGAGTGGTTCATTTCAAGTGTTCAGAATATACCACATGTCTTTGCATTTTGCATAAAAATTACCACTTTTTTCTAAGTGGGGTCAGTGTAGTACTGTGAAGACTGTTTCCTGTTTAGGCTAGTGATAGTTGACCTTCAAGCTAAGGATGAATTGGTTAACAGCTAAACACTTTGAATAATACTTGAGTACCTGAGTCTCGATGAAGACTTAGTGCTCCCCCTTTGGGGTCCTAACGTGATATGCTGTGGACTTCTCTTATTAGGCTTGGCTCAAGAAGCCTTTTCTTCCCTGGTGTAAAACTCTACTCCTGATAAACTTGCTTGCCTCCAAGATAACTGAAACCAGCCCCAGGGACAGGTTACAGCTGCCTGTTTCTGCTTTGTGATTATACAGTAATGGCTTGAAACTGTTTCATCTGGTGCTGTGGTAGCCTTGCTCTGATTCTAATGTGCTAAACAGCAGCAGTTAGCTTTTGGAACACTTCAAACTGTTAGATGGAATAGTTCTTTTTCCTGGATGGGACTTAACTGTGGCTCTATGATATTATAGTTGCATTGATGAACTATAGAAAGCCTATTTTAGGAGTTACATTTTTAACACTTGCCAGCTTGTAGGCATCCCAAGTATTTCAGGGTATGAAGTGGACAAAGTAAGAGTTTATGCAATTAATGTAAAAACATAACTTTTACTGTGACTAATTCTGGTCTGGGAAACTCACCATCTGGAAAGGTGGCTGCTTGGAAATGTTGAAAAAATTAATTCTTGGAAGTATTTCTGATGCAGGAGTACCCCTGAGCTAACAGGTTCTCCAAAGGCATGATCTTGGATACCTTGAAAGCAGTAAAAGGATCTGAACTATACAAGGGGATAGATAGGTCTTTTATGTTTAACTGTAATTTGTGTATGAGCTACTACAGTCCAGTGAGCTACTTTAAGGTCTGTGGCCAAAGACAAACAGATGGCATGGATTAAAACCAACTCCATTTTTGGACTGGACAATTAAACACGTTACGCTTGTATTAATATTGCTGGCTACAATACAGCCATTGTAGGGGGTTAAGAGGCAGCATTGAAACACAGTTAGCAGTCTTACAGCTGTTTTTGACTAGCTCTTTGAAGGCTGGTTCAGGATGCAGTAGGACTGAAACCGTTTTCTAAGCAGCTTTTCAGACATCAAGATTCCAGTGACTTTCCTCCTTGAACAAGTGACTGGAGTTGTGTATATACATAGACTGAAGAACTGCAGAAGTCCAGCAGGAGAGAGTTGGGAGAAGTTCCTTTATAGCTAGGTGCCAGATATTAAGACCTATGGTGCTAGGTACTGTAGCTTCATGTAGCTTATACTGTTCAGACTGGCATGTCCAGCAGAAGTGAGTTATCATGAGAAACTACTTAGTGTGGTCCAATTGTACCTTTTTGCGTTGACTTGTCTCCTCTATTAGAAGTGCTGTTAAGCTGTAGCATTTGTAGTTTGAGTACCGTTTTTCCAGCTTTCTCAAAGTAATTTCATTTTATTACGAGAGAAACAGTTGTATCAAGGATGTGAATCATTCTAGTTGCAGATTCCTTTCAGCTCTGCATTAGGAATCCTTGTTCAAGATAGTAACAAGTGTCTCAGTACTTCCAAAAGATGGATCACCTTCCATCTTATTTAGGTCAAAATGTGGTTGACTGGTCAGTTGTTTTCCAGCTGTTTGTGCTTCCATAATGGCATTACAGTTATAGTGGACTGAGCAGTATACCGAAATTTTCTTAAGATAATGAAATCAAGTTTTGTAATTTACAACAATAACCAGCAATGGATTCTCACGTGATTAAGAAACCTTAATGTTTCAAAGCTGAAGGCGTTAACTCCTCTTTTTGTTGTTTTACAGAATTCAAAGAAGCTTTTTCACTATTTGACAAGGATGGTGATGGTACTATAACTACAAAGGAGTTGGGGACAGTGATGAGATCGCTTGGTCAAAACCCCACAGAAGCAGAGCTACAGGATATGATCAATGAAGTAGATGCTGATGGTAAGATTTTACTAATAAGTAATTTAATAAAGTGCCTAAAATGTGGTTTTCTAACGGAACAACTATCTTTCAGGCAATGGCACAATTGACTTTCCAGAGTTTCTGACAATGATGGCAAGAAAAATGAAAGATACAGATAGTGAAGAAGAAATTAGAGAAGCGTTCCGTGTGTTTGACAAGGTACTAAAATTTTTACCTTAAATATTTTTGTTACAAAAATTCAGTCTGACTTTTGATGAGCTTCCTTACTGAATTCAGGGGTATCTGCTGTCCTGTCATGTAGAACTTCTAGGTTAACTAGTCACCCTAAAGTTCAATCTACTGTGGTACTGTGCCTGAAGGTCAAATGAGTTACAATAGTGGGTGATACTATTAAGCTATCACTTGCTATGATACTAAAACTCTTGTACAAGACTGACAGGGAAATTGCTTAAATATTTAAAATGCTAATATTTTAAATCTTTTACTTAGTCTTTACTAAGTAAATTGCTAAATGAGTCTAAAGTTGCTGAGCTTCTTAAGCAAGATGCACTTTCAAATGGAAAATACACAATGTTAAGTACCTTGGGGTGTGGGGAAGAAAAAGTCCAGTGTTTGTATATAGTAGAACTTTGATATTTAGTGTGCCAACAAGGGTAGAATATATAAAAGTGGTCTCTGAAGGCCTTGTGGCTTTGTGCTGGATTCCCATGAAACAGGTAAGATAAGCAGCTTCTGTTCTAAGAAATAATCACTTGAACTGGACGGTTAGATCATTGAATAGGCATCTGTCAGCTAAAAAGGTGAAGTGCTGATTGCTTGGTCAGTGATTAAAAAATGTTTCTGGATAGGACAGCCAAAGCAGACTGTCTTGGACAAGTTTAGAATGTCCTTTTAAGCCTATCCTGGACAATACTGAAGATATGCTTACAGCTCTCACTGCCTTGTGCAAATGCTAGTGGTTAAAGCTATGCAAACTCCTTAATGTTCAAGTTACTCTGCAGTATTCTTAAGTGATAGTTAAGTTGCTGGGCTTTAGACAAATCTATTCCAGTCTTCCTTTTTTTCCCCTCCCAGGATGGTAACGGTTACATTAGTGCTGCAGAACTCCGTCATGTGATGACAAATCTTGGGGAGAAGCTAACAGATGAAGAAGTTGATGAAATGATTAGGGAAGCAGACATTGATGGTGATGGTCAAGTAAACTATGAAGGTAAGGAGTTGTTAACTGATTCTTTTTGTGTAGCACTCTTAATGCTGGTGATTGTGTAGATGCTGATAGCCACGCGAAGTTTAAGTAGGGCAATGCTCAGATGAGATCTTCTCAACAGTTAGTGTTCCTTTAAGCTAACGTCTTTCACTGTGTACATCATGTACCTATACATAGGTTTAAGTTTGAGTGGGTTATTGGTGGTTTTGTGCCAAAGGCAAAAAATGACTATTCAGCTGTGCAGTGTAAGAAATAACTTTCTATATCTAATGATTTATTAGAATGACCATTAGAATAAGGAAGATGGCTGAGATGTCTATATACTGTTCTGTTAACTAATGAATGTTGATTTGACTGTAGCAAATCACTCATTTTTCATTAATGCTTCTAAAACTACTCACTAAAGGGGGAAAGCCTCTAAAATAAGCAGAAATTTCAAGATCTTTTGAAGACTTAAATAACTTCACGGAAGTCAGCTGCAGCAGTAGCTCGTTTTTATTTCCTTCTTTCTTTCTGGCATAGAAACTTAAATGAAATGCAAGCAGGAGGAGTTCTGTTAGATGATTGCTTGCAGCACAGAAGCACTAAGCTTATTTTCACTTTAACTTTCTGAATGTTTCATAGAAAAGAACTAGAGTGTTTACCTATAATACCCTCACTGTTTCTGAGGTGTAGGTGTGGCTTCCCTTTAAGGCCTTTTTGGTTGTGGCCTCAGGATGAGCACTTGGCTGTGAGTTGAAAAGGTGTTTTTATGGACAAGCTGCTGCTCCATAACTGTACTTACCAATCGACTGTGTAGAGGCTGGCACTAGGGAAGGTTGGCAGCCCTTGTTTCCAATTGCTCCTTTGAAAGTAGAGCAACCAGTAACTCCTCCTAGGTTCCCAGTGTCTTTTTGTTATTGTACCCAAAACTGGTTCGGCAAGGTAAATGAAGAATCATGTTTTGTGGGATCTACTTGCAGGGTGCTGTGAATAAGCAATGATTCAGTTGCTTAAAAGTGTTCAGGCAAAACAGTAAGACTTGAGCTATTCTGCTTTGAAAAAAAATTCAAACCAACACAATGTCTTGTACGCCTACTTAACTGACACTTCAGCCCAATTTCTACTTATCTCTTATTCATTCTTAGATACCTTGTCCCTATCTGTAAGTCAGTGGCCATGAGGACCCTGTAACATTGTACTTTGGTAGTAAGGCTGTTCCCCAGTTCACTGAGGGACCAACTCTTCTGATAACAGAAGTAAAGGCCCTTAGCCATTAAAAATAGGAGGGTTTTTGGTGTGATTGGTGGAAGAGGGGACTGTCTTGAAGATTCTTTTCTGAATGTAACTGAAAACATAGTTTTGAAACAGTGTTCAGCACTAGTAGGGCAGGTCATTTCTCAGATTTTGCAATTCACATTTTTCTCTGAATAACTCCTATGCAACTCTTTCTTTTTACAGAGTTTGTACAAATGATGACAGCGAAGTGAAGATGTTGTACAGAATGTGTTAAATTTCTTGTACAAAATTGTTTATTTGCCTTTTCTCTGTTTGTAACTTATCTGTAAAAGGTTTTTCCCTTACTGTCAAAAGAATATGCATGTATAGTAATTAGGCCATTCCTCCATGTTTTTCTCCTTTATCTTACTGTCATTGTTCTGATTTTTGGAAAATTGATCTAAGTAACAAATGTTGCATGTGGCTTACTCTGGATATTTAAGCCCTTCTGCACATCTAAAGTTAGATGGAGTTGGTTAACTGAGGGAACATCTGGATTGTCTGTTTAAAAAAAAAAAAAGTAGCTTTCTTTAGGAGATTTGGGTATGACTAGTGTAACCAGTTACTTAAAGTAAGCCAGGGTTTACCATGCATTAGTGATTCCTTAAAGTGACATGCTAGCTCTCGTTCTCCAGTACATAAAGGACTTTATTCCACTTTCTGTGATGGAGGGTAAGGACTCTTGCAGCTAACTGCAGGATAAAACCATGTGAATAGTATATGTGCATGTGGCTAATGCACTGTAAAAACCATTCTCCTAGCTTACTTCACAGTAACTTGTTTGTGGCCATACCTGTAACATGTTGTTGAAATGTGGAGTCTTAACATTGTGGACGATTGACAGTCAACAATATGAAACTTAAGTTGCACTAATGCAAAACGGGTGATTTATCCAGGTACTCGTACACAAGTTTTTTTTTGTACTGCTGGTCCTGTACCAGAAAACACTTTCTCCTCTTGTTACTATGCTTTTTAAACTTTGTTTAGCCACTTATTTTCAAAAAAAATCTGCTTATGGCACGATTTGCCTCAAATCCATTCCAAGTTGTATATTTGTTTTCCAATAAAAAATTACAATTTACCCATACTGTTTCAATGTATCCTTGAATTATTTACAGGAATTGTTCAATAGAGTTGCTGCTCTATGTGTTGCAGTATGTAGCAGTTTGGTTTGCTTATGCAATCGATTGGCTGTCTTAAAATAGCTTGGAAGGTGAAAACTTAGTCCTTAAACTCTGGCCCTCAATAGTATTGTTGACTTGAAGAAGCTTTCTTACTAGTAGTTTAAAATGTATTTTATAGTCTTGTGTGGAGCTTGGTGCTTCAATAAACTTACCGTAGTGACTGGCTATGCCCACTATCTGTAGACATTGTGAACTGGATGTTGACCTAGTTCAATAGTTGACCTAAAATTAAAATTCCTTGTTCGGACAACTAAACCTGTTTGCTTTCTTTTAATTATTTTGGAGTTTATTCCCTGTCAGTTGCTACATCGGGGTAACCTTAGTCTCACACCTGGACTTTTCTGAAACTGCCTTGTCTGAGTTGCCGTTCAGGATGCAGTACAGAAGGAAAACATTCTCTGACTGATCTGCTAATTAGCATGATTGTGCTTCTAGCACTAGTTTCTTGTCAGGGTTTAATTTTTTTTTTAAAGCAGAAAACAAACCTGGTTTGCCAAAGGACAAATCCAAGACTTCAGAGAGGCTGTGTGTGCCCCTTGCCTCTGTACTCTCCTGACAAGAACTGACTGATCTTAAACATGCTGTATGGTTATCTTGTTTGGGGATTCTGGTTGCCTTTAAACAAAGCATTGGCCCCTGCATCTTCTTACTCTCATGGGTGCCAGCAGAGCAGTTAACTAAACAGCTCTAAAACTTTTAATCATCTTTGAGGTGTTTATAATTACAGCAAAAATGTAAAACTAGGACAGCAGATCAACCTGTTTTCATAAACACTTGATCAAATGTTTATGGTCACTGATCTTAAAGCCTGCTTCCTAAAAGACTATAAGCAGCTCTATTGGTTTTCTGAAGGAGGCTTGTCAAAAGCTTTTAAATTGCCAGTGTCAGAATTCCTTAGAGTTGTTGCTTGTGTACTGGCAGTCTGATTCAGGAAGCTCATGTAGTTTAAATATTCTGGCAGTTAGGGTTTGCCCTCTACAAAAAGGAGTACCCAAACAAACACTTCCTGTCCCGTCTTCATCCTGTGGCCGAGGAGCCTGGGGACAAGACATAGGTGCTTAAACTGGCACAGGATGAGGAGAATTTGACAGAACCATCAGAACAACCGCTTGAGGTTCTGAATTGCAGGAGCACTGGAAGTGTCATGTTGAGGTAAGTGGTGCAAACAAGGACCTGACAAGAATTTGCGTTTGCCAATCTGATGTCTCGACTTCCAGTAGGCTGGGAATCACACTCTGGCCCATTGTCTTCTGCTACAACTCGGCATGCCTTTGGAAGCATCGGATTAAGGTAAAAAGGAGAGGGTCCTCTGCTGTGAAAGACTGCCTTGGCTGAGAGAATTGCCTTTCATAAAGTGAATGGGTGAAGAATGTGTGACGAGAAGGCCACCTTTATTTACTGTCATTTTAGCTGCTCCCTGTTCAGCGTTTCATCACAGGAATCAAAGCTGCTCTTTTTGTTCAGTCTAATCATCTGTGTTGCTGTTACCTAAATGAAATTACTGATTTTTAGGTCAATATTGAGGTATTGTAGCCCTGTTTACATCACACTTTAATTGCAGAATGGGGTAATACTTAGTACTTTCTGCTAATGGAAATAACAAACTTGCATGGTACAACACTGCAGTAAAATACCTTTTAGTGCTGTTTTATTCTGCACTGGGGGGAAGTTGAGAGATCTTATGCCTAAAAACTGCTGTTCCCTTAATGTATAGGCTTAGGGGGAGATCTATAGACTGCTGTTCCCTTAATGTATATGCTTAGGGGAAGATCCTGTCTGTGTATAATAACCTGAGGGGAGGGGATGAAGACAGAGCCAGATTCACCTCAGTAGCACCCACTGGCAGGACAAGAGGCAATGGGCACAAATTTTAAAAGATAAAGTTCTGTCTGAGCAGAAAACACTTCCCCACCCCCCCCACTATGAGGGTGGTCAAACACCAGTTGTGGAGTCTGTGCAGATTCAAGACCCAGCTGCAGGGGGGTTGGAACTGGATGATCTTTAAGGTCCCTTCCAACCCAAACCATTCTATGATTCTATCTCAAGAGGTCCCTTCCAATCTAAATGATTCTCTGAAGTGACAGTGCCCCTGATAGCTTCCTAGGCTTACTGTGGTGTGCAACCTTGTCTTCTGTCATGGTCTCTCCCAGTCAAGGAAGACACTTAATTGCTTGCAGCAGCCTAATACATTTTAGAGTGTGTCTAACTCATTCTAGTAGTGTTAGGACTGTAAAAGACACTTAGTACCTCAAGGCTGTGAGCTGTCCTGAAAATAAACACTTCCCTAGTCACTTGCAGCTGCGGAATTTTGGTGGGGGAATATATCATTGGCTGGGGAATGGTAGATGGTAAGCTTGCAGCCTGTTAAGATAGAGCTAATAAGTTAGGGACAGCTAATGGGTGAAGGAAACAGTGAGGATTAGGAGCCTGCTAATAAGATCAGTCTGGTTATTTGAGGGAGGCTGTAGCTCAGAAGGTAGATGAGCATCTATCTAATGCAGGAGTACAGCTGAAGGACCCGCTGAGGTAATGCGGACTGGGTGTTTAGTCTTTCAAAAGGGGCCTTTGGTCTCAAGATGACTTTGCAGGACTAAGGTAGCTAAATCTCCTGCCTCCGAGTGCTCCCTCTCAGGAATTGTTTGGTTACAACCTGGATGCAACGAGTAGCAAAATTACTGCTTGCTTATCTTTGTGTATCACTTCTATTACATGACTATACAGTGCTTCTTGGACAGGAACTCAGTCCAGTTAAGCAAAAAGCTGTGTTAAACTGGCTTACTGACTGTTGTGTGAGTAAGAGGAGTTTGTGTAGTTCAGGATTAACTGCCAGCCATTTCCAGTGGAGGTGGGTGGGAACAACTGTACAGAGGCTTTAAAATTTCTCCTTGAAATACTGTGTTTTAAAATGGCTTTTCCATTGAAATCTTCATGTTGTAGTGGATACTTGAAGTTTCATTGTAATTCAGAGTTAGTCTGTGAAATGCTACTTTGCAGTTAAAAATGTTCAGTTTAGCAAAGAGCTTCTGTAAAAAAGAATGTCGAAAAGCAGTTTTTCAAGTGAAAATGGAGATATGAGATAACAATGGTATACAAATGCACTAGGGTGTGTGGTCTGAGTGTAAAAAACCCCTCGTGTTCAGCCAAAACAGAAAATGCTGGAAAAATGCGAGTACTGCATGGTAAATCTATGCTTAACAGAGCTTTGAGAAGGAGATAGAATCCTCTTTGGGACAGAGGGAGCAAGCTGATGGAGAATTTGTTAGAGTAAATGTATTTTTATATTATCTCCTCAGCTATATTTTTTTCTCCTTATACCTATTTTTAACATTGGTACAGATTTGTGA